CGGCCCGCCTCGGCCGCCTCCAGCGCCGCCGCCTCGGCCGCGGCGGCGCGCGGGATGATGCCGGGGTCGGACAGCGCCGTGCGCAGCAGCGCCGCCAGCGTCAGCGCGCACAGCGCCGCGCCGGCCGCGGGCACGGCGGGCGACACGCGCGCGGCCAGGAAGGGGCAGTCGAAGGCGAAGTGCAGGGCGCACGTGCCGCAGATGAGCGCGAGCGTGAGCAGGAACACGCCAGGGTGGGGCGCCGTCATGAGGCGGCCGTCGCACCAGAAGCGGTTCCGTCCCGCGAACACCTCCCACTTGCGCGTCACGCGCCGCGAAGCCATGGCCGCATCACCCCGCCGCCGCGACCTCTGCTCTGTGCCATTACAGATAGTTTTACAAAAAAAAATCTTAATGAACAAAATTCTTACCAGTTGTGGTTGTAATTAATTTTTTAAATTGATGATAGACATACAAAATGTTTAACTTTTGAGTTCTGCAAAGCGCATGTGCTATACTTAAAGAATACAGGTATCACAAATAGCAATAAAAAGAAGATACAATCAATGCATTAACATGCAAAAGTGTCATTGTAAAAATGGCCAGAATCTAGACTAGGCAACCAATAGGAATTTACAGCAATTTCAATTCAAAAAATCTGCTGATGATGTTTTTTACCCAGATATGGAATTACTATCTGCAGCCAGCAACATATTCAATGGTTCATACAAAATATGGTAACACACATGCTATAAGTTGCCTACTATGCTTTTCAAGAAATTAAATGTTACAATGACAAAAAGCTAACTTATAATAAAATAACGAAATGCTGTGAAAGCTTTGTTTAACTCTGTACAGCGGGATAGTAGCTTTACGCTAAAATCTTACTGTACAGGACTACCTAATCCTAATAACTCCAAGCTAACGTTATCCTACACTATCCTAGCTAATCTAACACTTATCATATACTATCCTAGCTTTGCCTAGCGTATAATGCGTATAGGCTTGGTGCTCTGTGGTATACTGGGATACAGACCAGCACTTCTACGCCCCAGCTTCACACTGGTGCAATGCTTATGTAAATATACCTACTACAGAATGTTCTTATAGACAAAGTTTACACCTTTTTTGTCACTAGACAATTAAAGTGGATAATACTGTAGTACATTATTTGGGTCTGTCTCGTAGGGATAAGCTAGCTTTTGCAATTAAGCGCAAGAAAACGTGCTTATTTACAACATCACATTAGAAACCTCTAAATTTATTAGTGTTTCTCTACTAAATTATGCATATAAACATTCGTTAAGATAAAACAAAAACTGCATAAAAATCTGTTGAATATTTTTAAAGATCTAAGCATACATAGGGACATGGCGGATAGGGACTTGTTTTATACTGAGTAGTGATAACCTTATGGACTTTTTTAAATGGACTACCCAATGCAAAAAAGCATTTCAAATCCAGCTAGTAGTTCCTGAGATTAGCATATTTAAATAAATAAACAAAATTAATAATAATAATTGGTATACTTGGACCCATTTATCCCCAAGCGGTCAACGGTGACCGCTCTGGACTGACTATATTATAGACCTTATTCCCGATGTTTAGAGACTACTTTTGTATGAACAAATTTAGGGGATGATTGTCAACAGGTTAACTATATAGCTTTATAATTTATTTATATGTGTAATGACCAGGTCAGATTTGGCATTAAATCTCTTCTGATCTCTTTTAAATGAACAGAATCTTACATTTATGAAAATAATTCCTAATAGTGCACCACAACATGTTCACAATTTAGTTGTTTCACATGGATTAATAAGTGCTAGCCCGCTGCCATGCAGCGTAGCACTCCTGTGACTAGCACTCAACTATCACATCCACTTGTTCACACACAGTCCCTGTTGGCTTTGCTGGCAGTCTGACAGACAGTCCACACACTGGGAATGAAAAAAGATCACCATATCATAACGCCATAAGTATATTGGTGGTAGTGATTGGTTAACAAGATATTTATAAACTTATCAACTCAATCAGGCCATCAATATACTGATAACATTTTCAACCACTTGTTTATTTCTATCCAATGTGCTCAGTAGAATAAGGAAACGTGCAAACTTTTTGATATGACTTGTAGCAAAATGGTTATTCTTACCTCAACACAAAGCAATTGGATGTTTCACAGATAGCAAACTGTCCATTCCATAATATGGTCTTTACAAAATCACTACTATTTGAAAGACAAACTTTTCAACTTGTTAAACGTTAACGTTTATTATCTACACAAATTTAGGTATATAAAAGTATTTATATCTAATTATTCTAAGTAGTATGATTAATAAAAAGATTACTCGATAAGAACAAATTATCAAATTTACTTGTTATTTAATTATTTTACAGAAATCACAAAACTTTCTTGTTTTCTAAATGACATATGTAAAGCACAGAACATATACACCCTGAGTAAAGTCCCACAGACTCAATTGATTCCGACAGATAAAATAATAACATCATTACAGATAAATTTCAGATGCAAAGATTATCCGCGCGCCTCTAGCGGCGTAAATTAGAAGTGGTCTAAGAACGACACTTTGCTTTCGTATTGAAGCTAATTAATTAAATTAATTTAAACATAATCAAATGGATCACGATTACGTACAGGAACCTGTTTTTAATAAAAAAAACACAAAATATTTGTGCGTTCCTCAATGTAATACTTACGGAAATTAGGGAATGAGTTTTCATTTATTTCCAAAAGACAAAATCATGAATCAAATAAATTTTCTTCCTGTATTGAAAGAGAAAAGATCAGCTGTTAAGCGATTAACCCTCTCAGATTTACTCAGCATTGGTATGTATTTATTTACTTTTAGAAGAAATACTGGTGACTTGTAATGTTAGTTAGCCTTAAATGCTCCAACAAACAAGAAAATGTTATCTGGGATAGACAGAGTTATTTTGACAATGGTAAAAATTAACCAAAATTTGTCATTTGGAGCCATTGGTGTTATGTTAGGTATACTTAAATAGGCAGTCGTGTTCTAATTATTTTAATTATATGTGCCCCATGCAGTGTAGATTAGGTACTCAGAGTTGTTATTTTTTGACCTGATACCAAAATGATACGTAGTAACTTACCTAAATCATTCAAAAATATAAAAATACAAGAATAATATTTGACTGTGCTGAGACTGTGATTGAAAAATGTAAATGTTTAAAATGTAGAATATTGAAGTAAATACTCTCAATATTATTATACTTATAAAAAAAAACAATAAAGCGAAGTTTAATATTGACATAACTCCTTCTATCCTAATAACTGAAATAAGTGCGTCTTATAATGGTGGAGCATCAGATAAACATATGGTAAATGAATCAGGAAACTTAAATAAATGCGAGTTTAATGATGGTGTATAAACGATATAGGATTGAATTCGAGTGTAAAGAAGTGAGTTAAGGATATTAACTGAATAATTAGTATAACATTTGATTAATTTTGCAATTTACTTAAATATTTACATAGAAGAAACTACATAAATCTAAATTATATTTAATAAATACTTTTTTCTGAAACGTAAATTATATACGAAAATTGACAATGTCGTTCTTAGACAGCTTAACAATTTTGTCACTAGAGGGTCCATGAGGAATGTAAAACGATTTATTAAAAAATTGCCTAAGCAGTTCATGGCATGACTGTGGAAATATCCATTTTTACTATAATTTTTATGTATGTGTAACCGGAAATGTATGAAAAAAAAACTTAATAGACGCATTACTCACCCCTACAATTTTCGAAAGTTCCCCTCGATTTTCTAGGATTCCATCATCAGATCCTGACCTCATGGAAATAGGACCCTCTCAGGAGTATACCATTTTAAACAAAACAAGAATTTTGGAAATTTGTTCACAAATGGAAGATTACATATTACATAATCGGAGAACAAACAAAAAATATTAATAATAATCAGCCATTCAAACATAGTACCTCTTCCTTTAATTTTATTCATGGACTAGCTACTGCCCAGAGTTTCGCACGCGCTCTTTTAAAAATAAAACAAAATAAAAATCATTTATTTCAGTCAGATATATAAGAGATTCATAAAAACTACTGTGGGCAGGTTTACAAAAGATAAAAAAGAATTTGTACCCGATGTTCTCCATACTAACTTCCATAAGTACCCTGTTTTAGGGAAGTGGTGGGTTAGAAAGAAATAAAATGACGCCTTTTTTTAAGGGGGGAAAATCATCGAATGACTGCTCCCGCCTGGGTGAGGTGAGGCGGGAGGGAGTGTCAGACTCTTACTGACTAAAAACCACCCTGTTCCTTATCCTGCACGTCGAGCCGGAGCCCCGGTTACCCGTTAGGTTCTCCGCGACAACCACTGAACCTATTTGATTAAATTCAGCTCAGAGTTTGAGACGCTGGCACTGAAAAGGAAATCTCACGGGACATATATGTGTTAAATTGTGGGACTCTGTATTGCTTAAACCACAAAACTTTTTATTTAATATTATCTTTATAGCGCGGCCAACTACCTAGTTCCGCGTGCACTATAATAAATACATATAATAATATTGTTTTCATATTGAGTAATAGTTACTACAAAGATGTAATGTCATATAACATAAGTACTTACTTGTTTTTTACAATGTTTTTCAATTACGATTTTTGAACACTACAATTTGATAAGAATCTGGAGTCGACCTGATGATGGAGCCGACAGACAGTCGAGAGAACTCTTCAACGGTTTATATTAACTAAATTTGGTTTGGGCTGATTAATTTGTATTAATGAGCACTTTACACCTAGATAGAGTGGGGCTGTTATTAAGGGTCTGATGACGAAAAAGTGGAATTGTTAAGGAAACTCCTCAACGGTATACAGTAACTACCTTGTATTTGGGCTTGAGTAATTTGTATTGATTAGAACTTTGCATATATGTAGATTATAAGTGGAAAAATGGATCTACGTAACTTTACACTAAAATTGTAGAAAAGTCAAACGTGAACATACATTAAATATTTTTTAAAAGAATATTTTGGTGCGTGATCGACAATCGATACCGAACCCAAAAATACGGTTTTTGGAATTTTTGTCTGTTTGTCGGTATGTATGTCCGAGGATGATTTTTAAAAGTACTGCGTAGATTTACTTTTTGCATGAATCTTACTAACAGATCGGGTCAACACATAGGCTACATATTATGCCACATGATTATTGCACATTTTAAATGTGCTGTAGTCAAATCAGGCCACCGGTGCAAACCAGGCCACGTTATTATTAGTAAGTACCACAGTAATGTCCTGGAAATCTTAGAAGATCGGCAACTTTCTATGTCAACCAATGAACCTATTTAACTGAAATTGAGTACAATGATAGTTTAAACCGGAGTAAGGATATATTATAGTTTTTATCTCAGAAATCTCATGAGAATGGGAACTTTGCGTTAAAATTCCTCGACTCTGTAGGTACCTATTAAGCTATTTGATTGGAATTTAGTAAAACGATGGTTTGAGATCCAGGAAAGGACGTCTAAAAGATTTGAACCCGGAAATCCTACGAGACCAGTTAAACTATGCGTTAAAATGCCAGGACAGTCTACCTTTTAAACCATTGAACCTATTTGAGTAAAATTCGGTACAACGGTAGTTTGAGACCTAGGAAACGAAGTATGATAGTTTTTATCCCGAAAATCCCGAGGAAAATCCCAAGCAACGGAGATAATTATGCGTTAAAATTCCGGCACTCTATATCTTCTTAATCACTGTACCTATTTGCTTGAAATTTGGTACAAAATTGTTTTACAACCCGGGAAAGGAGATATAATAGTTTTAATCACTGAAACCTGACGAGGCACGCACTGTACAGGTTAAACCCGATGGGATAGTTTATTTTTTGAAACCATGAAAATAGTTCAGAAGGGTCTTGGAAATGAACATAGACAAGACCAAAATCATGTCAAGCATCTATGTTGCACCTGTACTGGTCATCGTTCGGAATGCTATCCTCAAAGTTGTAGACCATTAAACATACTTAGGGCAGATGGAAATTTGCCAAAGAACTAGAGTTACCGACATAGCTCGCAAAATCTACAGACTGAAGTGGCAAAAGGCAGGCCACGTCACTCGATGGACTAAAGGCAGATGGGCAAGGAAAGTCCTTGAGTGGAAACCACGGACCGAAAGACGAAGCGTGGGCAGGCCTTCCGCTAGGTAGATCGACGACATCGCCTGAGTTGCGGGGAGCCATTGGATGTAGGTGGCGAGTTGTCATTCGACGTGATGGTCTAAGGAGGAGGCCTTTGTCTAGCAGTGGCCGTCTTTCAGGTGTTGATGATGATGACAAAAATAAATTCATTTTACAATAAATACAACATAGGTACTGAATCTATTTTGACGACATTTGTTACCGTGGAATGTCCATTGAAAAATACTAATTCAAAAGCCTAAATTCTGCCAGACAGATGTCATTATTCTACGTGGACGAAGTCGCGGGCAACAGCTACAACAACAACGAGTTAAGTAAAAAGTAATAAAAAAAAAGCGTTAAAAAACTTCAAAAAACCAAAATCAGTCGGTGCTAGCTCAGTGCGGCGGAAAGTAAATAACATAGTGAAGGTTAATTACTAACCTACAAGCTTTTACCCGCGGCTTCGCTCGCGTCACAAAATAAATGAGTCGAAAAGTTCACCGAATAAGTGTAGATTAACACCAAATAAGCGAGCGTGAAATTTCCAATTAGTAGGTAATTCGTTGAATTGTTTTAAATGGCATACAGCGCCATCTATACGAAGACACACAGCGCCATCTATACTAATATTTTTGTTTTCCCTCGGGTATATCACATTTTTCCGGGATAAAAAGTACCCCATTATTTCATCAAGATTTCTAAATTTACGTCTGCAAAATTTCAAAGCAATCGGTTAAGTAGTTACGGCGTGAAAGTGGAACAAACAAACAAACGTTGTTTTTTATTTTGTTTTTCAATTTTATTTTGTTATTATTTTGTGTGTAATTCGGTGGTACATGTCTGGTGGCGAATAAATTATTTTTCTTTCTTTCTTTCTTTCAAACAAACTCACTTTCAGATTTATAATATTAGTAAGGAAGTAAGGATAGTAAGGAAGTAAGGATAACGATTTGATTGAAATACGTAGAACGACGCGACGATAGTTTGAGTTTGAGACTGAAAATGACGCCTGACAATTTTCAACCGTTGTAGCTATTTGATATTGGAATTCAAATAGAGTTTTAATAACTACCGACATGTTTCACATCATTCATTCACGTTTTTGTTTTTACGTTCAAAAGTGCCTTCCTGGTCAAATTGAAATAAATTATTTTGACTTTGAGTTTGACGTGAACGGATCCTGGGTAACTAATTTATCTGTGGGATTGTTTATTTTTCAAATCATTAAAATGAACAAATTTTCAGAATGAATACAACTGAATCGATGCTGATGAGATTTGTTCCATACCTACCATTGGAAATAACCTTGGAAAAGACTAATAAAAAATTCAAAATTTGCCAGAAGTCATTATTATACGCGGACAAAGTTGCGGGGAACAGCTAGTGAAATGATAAATAATTTGAGTTTATTCGTTTTTTGAGTCGGTTTTTTTTCTTTAAAATCTCTGATTCTGACGCAGCTAAATACTTACTATTATTAGTCCTTGAAAACAGAGTTCTATTGGCAGTCGTCTGCCAGTTTTTGCTTTGCGATGTGATGCCCACATAGAACAACTCTGTGTGATCTGCAAATTATTATTCTGGTTCTTGGTGTGATGTGTATTATATACTTGCAAATGCACCCAAAACAGAAGATCCATAAAAATCCTAGTGAGGCCAAATTATTTTTAAGACAAGGAAATCTAGACATCAAGAAAATTTTTTTTTCTTTATGGAATAGGAGGCAAACAAGCAGACGGATCACCTGATGGTAAGCGATCAGCGCCGCCCATGGACATCCACAACACCAGAAGAGTCACAGGTGCATTGCCGGCCTTTTAAAAGGAGTACGCTATAAAATATAAATATTGCTAATCATGACCCAAACATAACATATGCTTGTTACATTAACCCTGTTACTGTGACTTACTGTCAAACACCAAGCGGTCACCGGTGACCGCATCCTATTGTTCTATAATTGTGTCTATAATGACGGTACTCGACGAGTTAATAGTCACTCCATAGATTACTCTTTTTCAATCAGGTTCACAATACAATTTTCGAGCAGGGCTGCTGACTTTGAAGTAACCGAACAACTATAATATTTATTAACTATAATATTTAACCTTCAAGTCCTGATGTGGTTTACTCATACCATAAATGGTGACGTGACGTACTTCAAACACCTTAATAAAAAATCGAAATGGATTACTTGTATTTACTGATTTGCACAATATTTAATTGTATTATGATTGGTCCAATATAATTCTATTAAGGAAGTGTAAAAAAAAAACATTTTCGAATGAAATCAGCAGTTTTTGGTTCAAATTCTATAAACTTAAAATATAATATTTCGCATAACTTAAAAAAATATATGTTACAATCTTAGCTACAATACTATTATTTGGACGTTTTTTTGGAAAATTCTTATATTCGTGAACACGCCGTCTATGAGACACCCATGTCAGTAGTTAAAGGTTAAATATTGTACATAATAGATATATAGCTAAAAAAACTATTCTGAGATAATTTCTTACACTTTCTGTAATTTTAATTCAATACACAAAATAGTAACATTATCTAGAGAGTAGAGAGCTTAGACAGGATGAGACATCATAACAAGTGAATGGAGTACTGCAACTGGGTTTGTAAACACAATATTAACAAGATAGTTACTTTTTATTATCACTGTTAAAATAAAAGTAAAGATTGTACTTAAAAGCAGTAGTCCTTTAAAAGCATTCGGGTCTGCTCTTAATTTCCATAATGAGTCCTCTTTCAACAAGTGGCATGGTGAAGCGATCAAACACCAAACCGCTGCACACATATACAGGGCGTGCGAGTGCAGCAGACAGCCGGCGAGCTAAGGCTGCGGCCGCTCCGTCTTCTCCTAGGAGCGTAGTTGCGAGAGCAGCTTTTGCAGTATCGGCTTGTGTTTGTAGCGACGGCATCCCGAGAGCTATCTCGTGGAGCTGTGGTACGCCGCTGCCTCCGAGCCACAGTAACAGAGCACCTTCTACACGTAGTGCAGCAGCTTTACATATAAGGTCCCCATTCCATATTTCAAACTCATGGATGCGCCATCGGCTGGGTGTATATGTAATCCGTTTTTTAGATTTATTAAGTTCCATTATAATTTAGTACTTTTAATAAATTTCGAAGCACTGTCACCATATACAAGTCATTAATATAGCATAGAAATAATTATATGGCAGGTTTCTAGTACGGCTTGGTACGGCTACATAATTACATAGTAGTAGTCAAAAACGTCAAAATAAAAATTTTGGCACTCAGCAGTCTTGGCAGAATATGTAAGTAAGTACGTATACGTACAGTATATCTTACTGAGACAGACTGTCACTGTCATGCATGCGGATTCATAATGTCAATGTCATAATAATATGTTATTATTCATAGATGTCATCTATGGTAGTATTATATTATATTGTCTATGAAAGTTGATATTATTATTCGTTATTATTCGTTCGAGGATGTAGTTCACTGTAGTTGACAAAGAAATAAAAAAAATAAACGAACCCACTCAATAGGTGACGAAAAAAACAAGATTTATTTTTATAAAAGTAATGAATTAATTAATGTAATAATAGTTGTAAATTGTAATCATTTGCTCAAGGCTTGCATGATTATTAGTAAAAACTATTTTCTTTTTGCTAGCATTTTGGAAGCGTTCATACCCTGCATAGTGCATTTTAATCTCTGTATATCAGTGCTATACAATCGGTCACAAATCCCGTCCAGAGTCCTCAGGTAGCTTCAGCCAATAGGATAGCGACATTTGTATTTAAATATCTACTATTTGCTAGTTTTCTGGCGTGTGAGAATCTTATTGGATAATAATTTCAATGTTTCTAATTGGTAGCCAATCAGAATAAAGGTATTCTAAAAAACTATTGTATGTTGAAAACATTTCATTCAAGAATTCGGTCTTAGTTCGGTCATTCGACTTGAAATGGGTTAGTGCCATTCATTCACTTTTTCAGATTCAGTCAGAAGAGCTTGTAGTTTACCGCATCGCTTATTACACGCTGCAAGAAAGTTAGCCTGCGGGTTCTGGCATATGTATCTATTATTTTTGTCTGTAAAATATTAATTTAGCGACGAAGTAAACTAAGTACACTACAGGTATTGGAAGTGACACCATGAAGTATTTTGTTTTGGTCGGAGTCGGCATCCTGTTACTTGCAGGTGAGTTGTCTGTCTACGTAGCGCTTTATTTTAAATGATGATTGTGCTTGTTTAATGTTCCCAACACAAATATTATGAAAGAAAATCAAGATATTTTACTGTTAATAAGACATATTAGCAACAAAAGTCTATCAGATAACGTTTATAGACAAAATAATTCTTTTGTTCTGTTACGACGACTAGAAATTTCCATGTTATGTTTCTGGTGTGATGGTAAGAACTATCTACATTTGGGCGTGTTTTAATAAGTGTTGATTGCTTCAGGATGGTCACATGCTCAAGAAGGCGTGGGCGTGGGGTCCGTGGAGGAGGTGACGGTGGACGCCGACCTCGGCGCGTCGCGCGAAGCTTCCCGAACTGGTAACTCCCTTGGAAATATCTTGCCGGTTTGTTTAGGCCTGCGTCACTTTGTGCCGATGTTTTAGTCAAGTGGATTCGTTTCTTATCAGACACGGATTTGTGTTTCGAGTTCTACTATAAAAACCACAGACTACTCAACTCATAACTCGAGTAAGAATAGAAAAGAGCAATATGACTTTGTTTCATCCCTGCTTAGGGAGTTTCTGTGGAGGCTTTACTGACACATTTTATAATAAAGTGTGAAATGATTAATCGGTAAACAATGACCTAGTTAGTTTAGTCTTTCTTTAAATTGTTGTATTGTAGTTAGACCAGTCATGCGTTAATAGTGGTGAAAAGTATTGGTATGAGTAGAAGGAGAAGTGATTATTATGTTAAACCAACATAACATAACATCACGCCTTTTATTCCCGAAGGGGTAGGCAGAGGTGCACATTATGCCACTGTACAATGTAACACCCACTTTTCAATATTTATGTTATGTGTCCCGTGTAATAGGGGGTGAACATATTGCCATATACCGGGCACAATTCCAAACTCCGTGCTACTACTGAGATTTTTTTTAAAAACCCAGTAATACTTTGCCCGACCCGGGAATTGAACCCGAAGCCAACGAGGCTGTATGTTAAACATTTTAAATAAAGTAGGTATTTGGTGTAAATTTGAATGTAATTCTAGAATGTAACTGGGCAGCATGCTTATTGGATTTGTTTAATTGATAACATTGTTCATAATTGATAAATATGAAGGATTATTTTTCCCCATCTATCACTTTATCTAACAAATGAACCTACTGATAAAAATTGGTCCCTGCTTAGATAGAGGTAAATACTGTTTGATAATTAAGTGTATTGAGTAATCTGTAGTGGACAGATTATATAGAACATCAACCTCAAAGTATTATATGAAATACACTTTACTCAGGATATTAGCAGTACAGCTTCTTTTGAACCGTTTTGAAAGTCAGTAGTGAATGTTGTGTCACTGATCCACCACAGCTGCTATTAGGTCTTCAATTTGTCTTTAAACATTGTTTGACATATTAGCTTCAAACTATAAAATTAGTCTCAAGCTTAACACTTCAAAATAAAGCTCTGCATATGATAACCAACGCACCCTGGTTTGTACCCAATGAGCTGCTACACCATGACCTACGAATGCCCACTGTAAAGCAGGAAATCATACACCATACCAAATGCTATAATGAAAGAATCCAAACAACACCCAAATACTCTGGCTCGGTCACTAATGGACAATCACAACAAAGCGCGACGATTAACACTAGAAAGACCGGAATTTCGAACTACCTGTAAAGACCAAGTGGGGTCAAATGACACCTTCATGGGTTGTAATGTTTTATTCGTGTATTATGGTTTTAAGTTTTATTGATTAGCATCCAATAATGAATAAAATAACTTAATAGTAATTAAACATCTATTTATTGATAAAAAAATAAAAAATTTAGGCACATTTTTGACATTTTAGCTCCTTGTTTACATTACAAGAGCCACACAAATTCTTTTTCAAGAGCAGACAAACACAAGATTTATTGGTTTTGTTTTTGCATTTTTGTACGTAACACCGTTTTCTCTTTCCACTACGTTCTTCTAGAGGCTCTGGGGGTATGCTATTATCAGGCTGTAAAGTAGATGGTGTTATCAGGGAGTGGGTATCTTGGCGGACTAACTCCCTTGCCAAGTCAAGAATGTACTTTTTTCTACTGATTTTTTTCTGGGATAGTTTTTTGTACAAGATCCAAGAATTAATTGCTGCCAAATCCAAAATATTATAAAACACTTGCACGGGCCAACGACGAGAAGGTGCTTTGACACTA